ACAAAATCAAACATATACAATTACCAATATGAAAACAAAAACAGGTGGTGATAGAGGAGTTTTGAATTTACAATAATATAAACCTAAACATGATTAAAGTAGATGATTAAAATGAAAATTGAAAATCCATTATTATCAACAATTTCAAAGATAACAAACTGTAGAAAAAGAAATGGCTCACAAAAAAATTCAAAGGATATTCAAACTTAAACAAATATCCCTGTAAAAGAAGCTATATGATAATAATAGACAAAATTAAAACTAAAAAGATTAATTGAGGCTATTTGATTATGCATGTCTTTAAAGTAACAACATTAATACATTTATAGTTTAGAATAAACATCCACAAACATTAATTGAGTAATAACAAAATTAAAATATAAATTTTTTATAATTACCTGTATCAAAATAATTGCAATAGTGTATAAAAGACCTGCTAGTGAGAAGAAAAACAAAATTTAATAAAATATATATATATATATATATTAGAAAAAATTTTACACTATCGATATTATAAAAAAATTAATCATACCTACCATATAAATATCGATTGAATTTAATAAGATAAAAGGTTTAAAAATATTTTAAAAAAGCAACTTTGTAAGATTCAAACAAATCCAACCTTTAAAGCATAAAAAAATATATAAAAATCAAAATAGCTTTAGCTGCATTTAGAGAGCTCTAAAAACCAACAATGCACAGTAAACTTGCTAGTGAAAAAAAAACAAAATTTAATAAATATATATATATTAGTAAAAAATTTTACACTATCAATTTAATAAAAGATTAATCCATAACTACCATATGAATATAGATTGAATTTTCATTAGGTAAAAAAAATTTAAAACTATATAAAAATGCAACACTATAAATTTAAACAAATCCAACCTTCAAAATGTAAAGAAAAAAAATATAAAAACCAAAATAGCTTTGGATGCATTTAAAATGTTTTAAAAAATCAACAAAACCTTGACAAAAAATTTTCAAGATAACCATAAAGAAAAAAAAAATTACCCACACCCAAAATAATTCTACCAAATTGAAAATAATCTAAAAAAGTAAACAAACAAAAAATTAATTTACTAAACAAAAAAAATACTAAACAAATAATTTAAGAAAAAAACCATCCGCAAAACTATGAAGGTAAAAATCAATTCCTTGTATTTAAAAAAATAAGGATCAAACCAAATAGCCAAGCAATGTTATTACCATTTCCATGGGTTCACAAAAAAGATTTACTTTTAACTTCAAATTAAACAATCAAATACATGTAATAAACAAAAAATAAGAATTTAAAAGAAAGAAAGCAAAATGATAACATATTGTAAGAAAATTAATTAGCAAGTGAAGTAGCTACAAACTTAAATTCAAGCAAAAATGAAAAATTAATATTTTAGTGAAGAAATACATTTCTTTAGATGTTATTCAAAACATGAAATGAACCATAAATGAATATAATTGAAATATTACCATCAAGCTTACATTAACAAATTCAAAGCGAAAATAGAACTAAAGTAAACTCTTTACTTATCCATATTGATTTAATAAGAAAATTTGACATTTAATCCTTTAATAAAAAGTTAAAAAGTTGTATAACAAGTAAAATAATTAAAACAAAAAAATTCAAGTCTAAAATCTTGTATTTAAGGTAAAAATTAAAATACTTAGAATTTTATATATTGAAATAATAATAATTATTAAAATTACTTATAACAGTAATAATTTTTTACTAGTAATCATGCTTCCTTTATCAATAGACCAAAGTGGGTTATCAATTTTCCTCTATCGATGGAACAAAGTTGGTTATCAATACCTTTTTTTTTCATTCCCACTTTTGCTGATCTAAGTGATAACATAACATTCCCAGTTTTACTGATACTATAAAATCAAAATCAAAATCCAAACTGTAAATTTATTTTAATACTTGCAAACCAAAGCAATTTCATTTCACTTTAGGTCAATTTTCATTGCTTAAAAAACATTGTTCCTTTTTAAGACTATATTAGCATTGCAATTTGCAAATAAAATAAAAAAATCATCAATCATTTTCTGATTAAAAAAAAACTACTTTTTTGTTTCAAATAAAATTGAAGATATCAATATGAAGAAGCTTAGCTAACCACCCTTTGAAATTGACAAATTAATCTAATAATAATAGCATGAAAGTGAAAGAGAAGAAACAAATAAAATGTTTTTGACTTGAGAAGTGAATTGTTTGTATCATCGGAAGAGATGACGAATAAGCTTTAGCAGTTCTTGAAAAAGATATCTAAATTTTTTTTCAAATCCCTGATCAATCCACCTATAAAATAAGAAAATTATTAAGAATATTAAAGAAAGAAAACATGAAAGCAAATGACCCAATAATGGATAAAAGCTTTGAAAAATTAAAAGGAAACTAAATTGTTGTGTTTTAGAAAAATTTGAGAAAGAAAAGAAAGAACATAAAATAGAAACAAAAAGTAAAGAAGCAATGGATCAAAAGAAAGAAAAATAAAAAAGCTATTATTTACTTATCCCATTAGTTTTTTTTAAACCAAAGAGAAGATCTATTAATTTTTTCAAATAAAAAAAAAAATGAATCTCACTTACTCTTTCTCCTCATATTTTCTTTTGTCTTTTGTTACGTGAAAAAGAAATGATTTCTTTTGTCTTCTGTTACGTGAAGATGTGGGTGAGGTGAATAAAAGCAAATTCAAGTAAAAAGAAAATGGAAAGAAAGAAAAAAAAAAAAACCTTTGGATGACATGTGGATAGGTTGAGGTGAAGTCAATGGTAAGTCAAAGTTAGTAAAATTAATAGTATTAAAAATATAACATTCAAAATGAGACTGACAAATATAGCTTTTGGCATTTTAAATATCATGTTTTTATATAATAAACATGGTTTTTAGATTTTTTGGATTGTATTAAAAAATACGTATCATAAATAATATAATTAGTGATGATAATGGGTCAGGTCGGGGCGGGTTTTTGCTCGCCCCAAACTTGACCTGACTTTAAATATTCAAAACCCGAATTCAATAAAATTTTTTATTATTTTTATACCCAACTTCGACCTGACCCGACTCAAGATTGCATAAAATCGTACTCGATCTGACCTGAAATTAATAAAATATTATTTTTAATATAACTATGAAATTAAATATATATACATATATAAATAAATATAAAATTAAATAAATAATTAAAAAATAATTTGTTTATATATATCGGGTCGGGTAGGATGGGGTTTGCTTAAAACCTGACCTCAGCCCGATCTCGAATTTTTCTTTATGCCACCCAACCCGACCCGACTTGATACCCGATTTAAAAAAAAAAAAAATTGACCCTAAGAGGTCGGGTCAGATCGAACCTGTTGATTTCGAGTTTTTTACTTTCTTTAAATATAACGTTTAAAGTAAGACTAACAAATACAGACTTTGACTTTTCAAAAATCACATTTATATAAAAGAAACGTGGTTTTAGATTTTTTTGAATTGTATTAAAAAAATACGTATTAAAAAAAAAGATATAGTCTTTGTTAGCTTTGCAATTACGTTTTTTAAGTCAAAACGTGATTTTTGTTAACTTTTCATATTAGAAACCTTTCCCACATACTTAAAACACTCACTTTACTAAAATTCTTAAAATTTACTATTTTCCAAAAATAAAAAAAATTAAATATAAAGATAAATTTTAATAAAATTAAAAATAATAAGTCAAATTTAATATTAAATTATAATATAATAATAAATGGATCAAAATTCCAAAAAATTAAAATTTTTTTTCAACTGACAAATATAGGCTTAATCTTTTTTTCCTTATTTTGGTATTTAATTCTCTTACTTTTTATTTGTTTTGAACTTCTAATCATCTTAAAGCTTATGAAAGCAATATTATGTTCAAAGTGAGGCTGACAAATACAATGTTTGACTTTTTAAAAATCACGTTTCTATATAACAAACATGATTTTTGATTTTTTGTATTATATTTTAAAATTATGTATCATATGCAATATAACGTTTAAAGTGGGCTAACAAACATAGGATTTGGCTTTCAAAGATCATGTTTCTATATAACAAACGTAATTTTTAGAATTTTTGGATTGTATTCAAAACCTATTATTAAAAAGAATATTATAGTCTTTGTTAGATTTTCAACTACGTTTTTTAAGGTCAAAACATGATTTTTTGTTAATTTTTCATGTTAAAAACCTTTCACTAATTCCTCTTTCAGTATTTTTTAGTTAAATTAAGAAATAACTATCTTTTTTTCTTATATATTTTTAGAAAAAAAAACCCAAAAATCAAAAAAGAAAGAAGAACTATGATACAAATGCATGGCACTCCCAATTAAAAGTCATGTTTTTTGTACATTTACAAAATTTATCTTATTGATGGAAGGATGAATCTTATGGATGGATGATGGCAAAAGGTAATGTGTTTGAAAAAAAAAGAAATGAAAGAAAAAAAAAAAAAGTTGAGTTTGCTAAGAAATGTAAAAAGTCGAAATAAAATATAATAAAAACTATTTAGAAGAGAAAAGTGAAATCTTTTGCTCACCAAATTAAAAAAATAAAAAAAAAGAATACAAATATATTTTGTCACAAGGATTTAATATACTTAAAATTTATCGATTATTTTTTAAATTAATTGATATATTATTAGAGTTAGTATTTAAAATTGTGAGTTTAAAAAAATTTAAGCATGTAATGTCTTTTTTATCAATCAAATATACAATATGATAAAAGAGAATTAAGAGTCATAATTAATATATATATTTAAAATTTTATTTTCAAAACATCTTCATAATAATCGAACTCTAATAAAAAAAATTTCCAGGGATTAACTATTGTGAGTAATGTTAATAAATCTCATATATATTTTAAAAATGTAATTAAAAAATCTATTTTAATAAAGGAAAAAAAGGGGGTAATGTTGTGTAGATCATTGTAAACTTAGACCAACTAAACAAGATGCCAGGATCCATTGAAACCGCCAAATTGGCCAAATCTTATCTACCCATGCCCCCCTCTTTTCTTTTATCACCAACGGCTCTGAACTCACGTGACCAATCCATTTCATTTTCGTTTTTTTTTATTTGTAGTCCCTGCCTCGCTTGGCCAACTGCTATTGCTTGCCTAACCTTCACACTTTCTCAAACAACAAGCTTCTCGTCTCCGGCGCGTCATGACCCTGACCCGCTCTATCCAATACCCCAACCCAGAACCCGAAGTTCAAACCCGAAAACCCGGCCGAGCGACCGCCATGCGCCTCATAGTACCTCTCCAAGGCGTGGTCCAAGGAAGAGGAGGCCTAATCTTCGGCTCTCTTATCCCATGCGCTCTCTTCTACTTCCTCCAACTTTACCTCAAACGGCACCGTTCTTCCAACTCTCGGTCCAATCCCCCTTCTCCCTCCACATCGTCGCCGAACCTGGCGGAGATTACAAGAACCTCTTCGCGCTCCAATTTGTTGTCACGCGGCTTGATTGGTCCGGTTCGGATATCTTCCCGGGCCATGTCCATTGCAAAGCCGAACGACTCGCCGTATTATATCGGGTTGGATAAGGCCTCGGAGGATCCGTATGACAGAATAAGTAACCCGGATGGGGTTATCCAGCTCGGCTTGTTAGAGAATAGGGTAAGCATTGCTTTTCAGCATGGTGCCATTGCCTGGCGTATGTTAATTCTAATTGTCCTTTCTTTTTTTTTTCTTTTCCTTTTAAAATTTTTTTTTCCAGTTGTGTTTTGATTTAATTGCGAAATGGATGTCGGAGAACTTGAGCGATTCGATGATGGGAAGAGAGGGTGGTGATTTGAGCATTAGCGGGATTACCACTTACCAGCCTGTAGACGGAACAATGGAACTCAAACTGGTAATTCTCTATAATTCATTTAAATTTTTTTTTTGGTTGGTTTTATTGTTTATTGATTGTTTAAATGGACGATAAGTTTATGCAACTATTTTTGCAGTCAATTTCAAGATATTAGTATATGTTTACTAATTGCTTTAAGAGCAAAAGAATCAGAGATGTTATGTAAGAAAAATTTAGATTTAAAGTTTAAACCAGTGAATGTTGTCAATCATTTTACACATGAAGAATTTGACAGTAATGCAATAAGAATGCCTTTGAGACTGTCCGGTGTTATTTCTATTTATCTGTTATTTGGATTTTGCAGGCTATGGCAGGTTTTATGTCTCGTGTTATGGGAGGAACTGTCTCATTTGAACCATCGCAGATGGTTTTAACTGCTGGTGCAACTCCAGCAATTGAGACATTATGCTTCTGCTTGGCGGATCATGGGAACGCATTTCTTGTTCCCACACCTTATTATCCTGGGTAACTATTTGAGCTTCATTCTTAGACTTCATATGATTGTAAATACTCTTTTCTGAACAGACCACTTCCCCCCCCCCCCCCCACCTCACACACAAAAGGTAAAGTAAGAAAGAAAGGAAAATCTATGGTCCTATTGGAATGATTAGAAAAAGTGTTTGCAGTTTTGATAGGGATGTGAAATGGCGAACAGGAGTGGAGCTAATACCTGTCCATTGTCGCAGCACTGACAATTTCATATTAAGTATCACTGCACTTGATCAAGCATTCAACCAGACAAGAAAAAGAGGAACAAAAATTCGGGGAATTCTCCTTTCAAACCCTGCTAATCCGGTTGGCAATCTACTTTCTCGGGAGATGCTTTACAATCTCTTGGACTTTGCTCGAGAAAAGAACATCCATATCATATCAGATGAAATATTTGCAGGTACCATGTATGGGAATGAAGAGTTTGTCAGCATGGCTGAAGTTCTTGATTCAGAGAATTTTGATAAAAACAGGGTTCATATAGTTTATGGGCTATCAAAGGACCTCTCTCTTCCAGGATTTAGGGTCGGAATGATCTATTCATTTAATGAGAATGTTTTGGCTGCTGCTAGAAAGCTAACTAGGTTTTCTTCTATTTCTGCTCTGACTCAAAGGTTAGTAGTTTCAATGCTTTTGGATACAAGATTCATTGAGGAATATATTGAGACCAATAAAAAGAGGGTACAAAATATGCGTGATTTATTTGTGGCTGGTCTGAAAACATTAGGTATTAGATGTGCAGATAGCAGTGCTGGCTTTTGTTGTTGGGCTGATATGAGCAAATTAATCCCCACTTATAGTGAGAAAGGGGAACTTGAGCTATGGGATAAGCTATTGAATGTGGCTAAGATCAATGTAACTCCTGGTTCAGCTTGCCACTGCATAGAACCAGGATGGTTTCGGTGTTGTTTTACAACGTTAGCTCAGGAGGATATTCCTGTAGTTATGGAACGGATTCGAAAAGTTGCTGATACCAGTACATTATGCAGTTGAAAATACTATAAATCTTTTAAATTTAAGGTGATTGCTTTGATCACTGGTAGGATTTCTCTGTCATGGATATTCCTCCTGTGGCTAAACAGGAGGACATGCGCATGCACAATTTCTAAGTTGGACCTTCAACATAGATGACTCCGTTGAAGTTATTGCAGCTTTAATTATAACATTGTTACAATCCAGGCTTGTCAAATCATTTACATCCTAATTTTCTGAAGTAAGACTAAATGATTTCGAAGCTTCTTGATGTACTGCTTTTAGGGTGGCCTTGAACAGTAAAGCCAATTGGCCCTCTTGGCCTCTTCTACAAGAATTTCAGTCTTGGTTGGCACTTCTTCAATTGCAATCCTTTTTTATGCCAGTTCCAAAGATGCGGCATTCAGGAGCTCTTTCCTTCAGAAATTCCTGTCATAGTTTTATTCAGGCAAGAGTAGAATGTCATTAGCAGATCTTGAGCAAAGTAGTAGATTGTTAGAAATACGACGTTTTTGTTTCTAAGCTAGTGCCAAAAGGTGATAATGTTGGTTTTTTGACAAAAGAAAAGAAAGACCATTTGAAATGCATAATTTTTTCTCCTTTCCTTTAATGAAAAACAGTTTTGTTTTATAGTTTAGACATACTTCCCAGTTTTTTTATAGCTGCTTAATCAGGCGATAATAATGGTGAAAAACGGAGCAGGAAAATTTAGAATTGCCATTGATAGATGCTTCTCTCTTATTTGAACAGCCTTTCTCAAATAACTCCTGCTGGACGCATTATCAGCACTGAGTATTGGTGGCCCCCTTATGACTACAGTGTTATTACTCTCACCATCAAAACCACTTTGAGCTTGAGACTCCTGGTCAGGGTACCTGACTTTTTCAAGGAAACCAGAATTAGGTGGAAGCAATGGAAAAAAGGCATTCCAAGAAAGAAGCCCCTACAAGGCTTGAAGTGCCAGTTGCATAGCTGCTTGTACTACTTTCAGTTTCTGAAGCTAGTGAGCAAGGTGTTTCCAGATGGTCACTGCTGTTATCTGTCTGGTAAGATTTCTGCATTGGAACAGCAGTGGAAATCGCCCTTGATGCTAGAGGCAATTTGCTAAGATGGATGGAGCTGAGCTAAAGGAATAATCTGTTTCAAAACCAAATGCTTCAAGATCCATTTCAAACACCAGTAATTCATCACTGCCATTGCCTCTGTCATCATCGCTGTTGCAGCCATTAAAATAGGCTGGAGAGTATACTGGGGGTGGAGGAAAAATAATGAGCATTGCTGATGGGGGCACACGTGCTGGTTCCACTGGAGGCTGGGAGAAGCTGGGTAATGGTGTACCGGGCTTTGCATCCCAATTAAAAGGATCTGAGGCTATACGCTTGATTGGATTTGGAGGTGGTAAAGTTAAAGAGTAACTGAAGAAACCCCTGGTTTACAATCCTTCTTTGCTATTCCTGGCCTCTCTTCCCGGAGGAAAGGAACTGAAGGTGGCTGTCTGATTTTCCTTTTGATAGAATGTCCACTGGCTTCCTTCTCTGCCACTCGAAAATAGCTCCAATGGTCCCTCGTACATTTGTCGATTATACAACCTTTTCCTATATATTATTGGTGCTAAGTAGATTAGAAGAGTTTGCTACAATACCAAACCGACAAACTGCACTATTCATGAACTTGAAAAGGTTGGGCATACCTGCTATCTGTCTACCTCGTGTCGAAGAGAGATTTGAGAATTGAGAGCACCTTGGTTTTGGATTTGCTAGGTCAAATCTCGCTCAATGTGTTCGTGACTAACTTTATTCACCATTATTGCGAGTAATTTAAGTAGTTACTGTATAGGATTTAGCTAGTAACTGGGTCTTGAACTCGTTCTGTTGTCAATGTGATATTTATGGGCTTTTTATGAGCGGACCAGATCAGCCTCTTAATCTCACCTTTTCCAACATGTTAACTGAAAGTCCAAGTTTCATTGTAGACCAACAAAAAGAGAAGTCCAAGTTTAATTAAAAGCATGTTTTGGGCAAGAGGCCATCAATATTTTCTTCCTTAGCGACTATCGTGAGTCCTTGACATGTATCTATTTGGCTTTCTCAGGAAATTAAGTACATCGAAACAAGAGCTCAAGGGATATTAATGCAATTCTCAGCTTTGGAGAATATCGCATTATGTTCGGATCTGGTCTATTAGTATCTAATCTATCTATCTTCTATGTTCATATATGGGCATCCTCAACCACTTGGCCATGATTTGTGAGTTTCCACTTCCCAGGAAAATTTTTTTTTCAAAGAACAAATTACGGATTTGGGAAACAAAGTACCAACATTCTTCATGAGCATGGCGTCTTTGTCAGGATGTTACTAGAGCCTTAGCTACAAGTTGCAATTCCTTCTTGAAAATGTGTTTTTGCCACAATTAGAGGTTGGGAAGGAGCCACATTGTCAACAATTCTTCTTGAAAAAAATAAAGATGTTCATTATAATGAATGGCACCTATATCTAACCCTACCACCTTTGCTTCTATGTTCCCTGTAATTGGTGTTCATCCGGTAGATATATCCCACCTGCATGAGAGGGACCGAACCCTTGCATTATCCTACATGCCCTGCCTGTTCTTCGTATAATTTGTCTCAGTTTTCATGCTCTCCCATTGTATTTCATGAAGAGACCTAACGATTTCAAGTGATAAAAATTTGATTCCCCACTCTTCTAAAGCTAAAGGGCAAGGATCGATCATGCTTATTGTTTAAAAATTCCTTTGGCCCACTTATTCCATCAAGCTGCTGCGGCAGCTGCCAGTGGTGGACGTTAGTAACCAAACTGTCCCAGAGAATTGGTCCAGGGATGGCTGGCTACGAAATTTTATTATTAAGAGGAATACTCTAACTGTATATAAAGTAAGAAAAGGAATTCAAGGAATGGAGGGGATGGGGCAAATATGTATCATAAGATGCGCATCACATCTCATCTCTTCAACTTACCAGTAGGGGCCATAAGAGGAGACAAAAGGGGAGAAAAGGTGACAACACTTGCGAGAAAACTGAATCTTCATCAGCCATTTGTGAAGTTATAACCTGTTGAGTTAAAAGTTTTTAATCCAATCACATCAACGGAAGTAAAATTAAACAATAAATTAAGCATACAAGAGACAACAATTTAACGTGGTTCGGTCTAATCAATCTACGTCTACAGATGAGAAACAAGAACCACTAGTTGTAGAGAATTACAAACATACATCAAATCATCAATCTCACTAAATAATCAATACTCATAAGATACTCTCAATTTTTCTAATCCTATAGAGTATTCTCAATCCAAATAAACACAAACCCAAACTCTTGTGCATATTTTTAATATAATAAAACACATACCTATATGCTCCCATACATCATACTTATGTGGACCTTCTCAATCTCTTCTAGTCCACTCACAAATAAACATACATACCCATAAGACGTAGAGCCCCAATACTCCTATAGGATGTCTATCCCACAAAATCCTACAATTCTCTTACATTTTTTTCTCATACCTAACCCTATAGAGACTTCACTTATTTATAACCATACAAACTTACCCATTAAGAATCCCTTTTCTCTTAGAATTCTTCTCTTATAAATCAAACTTGCCTATTAAGAATTTTTTTCCTCTTAGAATTCTTCTTTTGCAAATCAAACGTACCTATTAAGAATTCTCTTTCTCTTAGAATTCTTTTTTTATAAGTTTTCTTGTCCACAAACAATATCTGACAAATCTCTAACAAATCTCTAACAAATCTCAAACAAATCTCTTATGAGATTTAGTCATTATTCCCAACAATCTCCACATTGACTCAAATTTCATCAATCATCTGTCTTCATGCTAGACATGTTTGACTCAATCTGCAATGGAAGTCTCACAATCATCTTTTCTTCATTTGTGTCTTCACGTTTTATACAAACCAATCATCAATCTTCAAAACTTAAACTCGAACTCTTCTCTTGAATCAAGCTCTTTTGGACTTGCTACTTCTATATCTCAAACCATGCATTTTCCACATCTTAAACCTTTAGTTCTTCCCATATCTCGAACTTTCAGTTTTTCCACAGCCTCGAACCTCTGGCTCTTTCCACATCTTGAATCTTTAACTTTTCTCACGTTTCGAACCTTCAACTCTGATACCACTTGTTGGAGAACACCATAACTTTGATACCACTTGTTGGCTAAAAGCCTCCAATCCAATCATACCAACGGAAGCGAAATCAAACAATAAATCAAACACACAAGAGACAACAATTTAACGTAGTTTAGTCCAATCTTACGTCCACGGATGAGAAATAAGATCCACTAATTGTAAAAAATTACAAACATACATCAAAACATCAATCTCACTCAACAATTAATACTCATAAGACACTCTCAATCTCTTCTAGTCTATGGAAGTATTCTCAACCCAAACAAACACAAACCCAAACCTTGTGTACCCTTTCAATATAACTAAACACATACCATATGCTCTCATACATTATACCTATGTGAACTTTTTCAGTCTCCTCTAGTTCACTCACAAACAAACATACACACTCATAAGACGTAAGTCTCAATACTCTTACATGTCTATCCCATAAAACCCTACAACTCTCTTAAATATTTTTCTCATACCTAACCCAATAGAGACTTTTCCTATTTATAACCATATAAACTTGTCCATTAAAAATCACTTTTCTCTTAGAATTCTTCTCTTGTAAGTCAAACTTACCTATTAAGAATTTATTTCCTCTTAAATTTTTCTTTTGTAAGTCAAATTTACATATTAAAAAATTTTTTTTTGTTAAAATTTTTCTTTTACAAGTTTTTTTATCCATAAGTAATATGTAATAAATTTTAAATAAATTTTTAATAAATCTCTTATAAAATTTGAGTCATTATTCTTAATATAACAAAAAAAGAAAATATAAAGTATACTAAACAAAACTACAAAAGACATGACAAAACGGAGATGCATGGCAAGAGTGGAGGGCTTTGTCTTTCTGCTACTCTGCTAGCTACATCCTTCTTGATAAATTAAAAATATCCAACTAGGGTTTTTTTTATTTTTTTATTTCTTTTATCAATGCTACATAAATATCCAAACTAGCCTTGAAAAGTACACTTGAGCTTCAATAATAATGTCATTAATTAATTAGACGACAAACGGTTCACCAAATGTTTTTGCTAAAATTTTTAAAATTATAAATACCCAAAAAATACTAATAATAAATAAAACTCCAAAAATACTTCGTATCACCTAAAGTTTAGTTACAGTTCGCCTAAAGTCTAAGAATCCAGCAATGATCGTAGGTGTTGCGTCAATCAGACACATATAGGCCGAGTGACTCTCGCGGCCAAGCTCTACAGTGTCTACATATATATATATATATATATTTATCCAAGAC